AAACACCCCATCACTTTTACCAATCTCTTATTTCCACTTTGGAAAAAGTTTATATAGAGCCGAGGCTCTAAACAATCAAATTAGAGCCTACCTCAAAGAGGTTGCTTTGATGCTCAAATATTTTCAAATTGACCATCTCGACTTCATGATGTATGGATATGAGACAAAAAAAATGGATTTCAAGTTTTGAGAATAGTGCAACTTGTAACACAGTTTTGCACCGTCAATTTTCAAGAGTTTTCAAGTTTTCATAGATTTGTTTGATCTACACTATTTTTGAAGCTTTAAAATTTGTAATTAAAGATGAAAATATATTTTAAGACAATCACAAAGATTTCCACTATCGAAACCACATTTCTCAACACTATTTGAAGGTGTGCTTTACTTTGATTGTTTAGAGCCTCAGCTTTACACAAATTGCACCCTGGGTCGAAAAAGGGGTTCTGGTTCAACCCACTGAGTTTTGAAATAAATCTAGTTGCAGAGCAATGGTATCGCTAGGACAAGATATGGATTCCTTGTACTGTACTTGCAGAAACACACTCATCATTTTGTGAGATCCAACCTATTCTTTTTTTGCTTGACAATTAAATTGGTTCACATGCATGTGTCAAAGTTAACTGACAAATGAAGAGGTATGTTTGTATTAATAGATACGAAGGAATACGTTGGATCTCACAAAATGATGAGTGTGTTTTTGGATGTACAGTACTTGGAATCAGTATCTTGTCCTAGTGATACCATTGCTCTGAGACTAGATTTGAGTGTTTGAAAACTCGGTGGGTTGAACCAGAATCCTCCTGTTCAACCCAGAACTGGTGGGGATATGATCCGGGTTAAGGGAAGTCCTGAGTCTCCCAATTTCAGAATTTCGAATTCTTTTTATTTATTAGTTATATGGGGCTTATAAATCCGCCTTGGCCAGCCCAAAGGGGGCCAATGCTGTTCCCAAAGGAAGAGAGTTGTGTTAAGCATGCAGCCATTAATGAGTTTTAAGATATATGCGGCTTATATGGATTGGTGGAATTATGAATCGGTACCTAGATGATTTAGGAAAAGACACTGATGTTTAAAACATTGCTAGCTTTAAAAAGGTGAAGTGGGTTGCTCATTATAAGGCACTTGTGACAACCTTGAGTGTGTGGGGTTAAATTTAAGTTGTCTATTCAAAAGGAAAACATTAACAAAATACTGAGGCTAGAAAAGCACATGTTAAGTGGCTCTAACTCCATGAATGACTGTTTTCTTATGTGTACTTCTCTCCTGATTTTTATTTTTCTGGGGGTCTATTTGTGAAAGAGAAATACTGAAACTCTAAAAGCTACAACGGAATGAGTTGTTTAAAGTTTTATGTATACTTCTCTCCAGATTTTATTTTTTCTGGGGCTATATTTGTGCAAGAGAAACACTGAAACTCTGAAAGCTACAAAGGAATGAATTATTTAACGTTTACAACAAAGTTTCAAATAAGTGAGAATATGTAGCCTGCACATACACCCAAACAACTATATTTAATTTCATTTCCTCCCTTTTCAAGACCTGAGTGTCAAAGAATTTGTTGTGGTTTGATGAAGTGTGAATATCAGATTGTCACTTCAAAGAAAGTAGAGTGGTGCAATTGCGACAAATCCTTGATTAGAAGCCAAATGCCTCTTGCTTTCTCTTACACTTTTATTTAATGCGGCAGCATTTTCAAAGTGGAATAAATTGACGAATGATACTACTTCTTTTCATATCAACATCAAGCTACATAGCACAACACAAATAAAACAAAAGGAAAATTAATGGGTACTTGAAATATACTGCTTAACAAGATGTTATTCTTAATATTGAGATAAGAGGGCACGTCTAAAGCTATAAGCTTTTAAAAAGAAATTTAACTGAGAGAATAATTATTCCCCATAAAATAAAACAAATAAAACTACTTCATAACTGTTGTAGCTTTCCGAAATTCTCTTCCACTCCTGTTTTTGAATGACAGAAAATCATGTTTCTCAAAATAAAAAGTAAGACAAAAATAAAACAGAGTACTATACTCTTATGAGCTTTTTGGGTCACTTTCCTAATGGCAACAAGCAGCTGAACACTATATATATTGGGGTTTCAGTTGCAGCGTCCAATAGAATTGCCCCAACAAATTGCCTTATCCAAGCTCCCAAAGTCTCAGTTATCTCTCTCTCTCTCTAAAAAAACCCCAACAGATTGCAGAAATAGACATGGCTAGGCAAATAGAGCCCCTCGTTGTCGGAAGAGTTATAGGAGATGTCATAAATTCCTTCTTTCCAAGTATCAAGATGAATGTCACCTATAACTCCAACAAGCAGGTCTGTAATGGCCATGAATTCATGCCTTCTACTGTCATACAGAAGCCTCGTGTCGAAGTTAGTGGTGGTGATTTGAGAACTTTCTACACATTGGTACTCTTGTCTTTCTTTCTTTTTTTTTTTTTCTATTTAATTTAGTGGGGATGAAGTGCCCTTATCCGTTTTCCGTTACTTTTTACTTTAGCTGAGGCATCGGTGGTGCTATCACTATGACCTCAACCCATGTTCAAAAGTGGTAAGTCAGTGGGGATTTGGGTCCCAACCCATTTGATGAGAATAGAGTAAGAGACCGAGCTCGAAAATGGGTCCCAACCCATTTGATGAGAATAGAGTCAGAGACCGAGCTCGGGTCCCAACCCATTTGATGAGAATAGAGTCAGGGACCGGAGCTTGAAAATGCTACTGCCAAAATCCAAGCCATTATAAAAAAAAAAAAGTTGAGTGGGGATTTGGGAAGCCAAGGCCCTAGGACATTCTCACTCTCTCCCCCTCTCTCACACCCCAAAAAACAAAAAGCACACAAACCACTCCCACTTCCAACCCTCTGTTTTCTTGCCGGGTTTATGAGAGGTTCAAAGGGTGCAATTGGTTAAAAGACTAGCGTGTTTGTAAATATTTTATAATATTTTTTAGTTTAGCTCTCATTTGGTTCATGGGACTTGCATAATATTATACCAGTTTAGTTCTATAGAGTGCTATGCATACAATATTGTGTCTAAATCCATTATCTACTCCTTGTATTAGGTCCTCACTGACCCAGATGTGCCCGGCCCAAGTGATCCATACTTGAGGGAGCATCTGCACTGGTAAACTCTTAAACAAATCCCACTTTAAATTCAAGCTTTCAAGCATTAGTTCTGAACACAGCACGAAGGTCGGTTAACCTGAGGTTTTTTTTATTTTTTCAAAATTGCCTTTTTTTTTTTTAGCCCTAATGTTTGGGGAAGTGCCCAATCGGTTTGATATTAGCTAGTATCACTAGACTGACTTCTATGGTGTTCTTCAAAGTGGTCTGAGGTTGGCATCCTCGGACCACAAAGAATGACTTTGTTAAGCATTCAGAAGTAGTCCGAGCTCCCCATTCTCGAACCGCCTTCCTTGGTGCTATTCAGGGGGATCCGAGGATGGCATCCTAGAACCGCATTAGTTCATTTGTTTGCTAAAAATTAAGACGGTCCAAAGATGCGAATGTCTGACTACCTTCTCGACTAGGCACTACCCTAATATCCAAAAAACCAAAATAAAAAAAATAAAATGCAGCTCGAGGACAGAGGGACAATTTTGAAAAAATAAAAAAAACACAGGTTAACCGACTTTATGCGTAATTTTCGTCCAAAATTGGCCCATTTCATATTTTATTTTATTAATATTATTTTGTGACTGTATGAAAATTACTCTTGTTGTAAATGCAATTGGTTATCAGTTAATGAAAATATTAACAATAAGTTTCTATCTGCACAGGATTGTCACAGATATTCCGGGAACCACGGATGCTACTTTTGGTCGATCTCTCTTTTCTCTCTCAGAGTTGTTGTTCTTAGGCCCATCTTTTTGTTCGTGTGTAAGAAGCAATAACCCTAGAGTGGTTATGTAACTAGGCTGATTTGATAACAATATTCAGATTTGTTGATTTGGTACAGGCAGGGAAATTGTGGGTTACGAAAGCCCACGGCCAAGCATTGGGATCCACAGGTTTGTATTTGTTCTGTTCAAACAGAGAGGAAGACAGACTGTCGGTTCGCCATCGTCACGAGATCGTTTCAATACTCGAGAGTTTGCCGAACAGAACCAACTCGGTCTGCCCGTTGCTGTTGTTTACTTCAATGCGCAAAGAGAGACAGCAGCTAGAAGGCGCTAGTTTATGTGCAATAAGAGAGAGACCACTTCTAGACAGAAAAATAACAGACTGTTTCCATTAGTAAGGAAATAACTGAAATCCATGAGTGTGAGAGTATCATACTATTTCTATGCCTTTGAGTCAGAGATTATCAGTGTATCATGGTATCACCAGAAGTGAGAAAAAATCAGACTGTCTTGAGTGTTAGAAAATAGAAAGTTTCATGCTATTGCAATAAGTGAGAATGAGTATTGCTGCCATGAATGTAAAGTGATGTGGGAGTAAGTATCAGACTGGTTCCATGAATGAACTGAACCTGCACACAAAGTTTACCATAGATTTTAGGGTTTCCACCAAGGGTGGTGGTGCAAGTGTGCTCAGTGTACTTTTAGGGTTTTTCTAGGGTGAAATAATGCAATATGCTGTTTCCTTTGAAATTGATGTGTTGGAAGACGTGTCAGATTTTGGAGTTAAATGGTGAGAGGCAGTTGAGGGCCCTGGGGGGATCCTATTTATATCTTGTTCAGGGAAGGGACAGGTCTCATTGCCATCAAATCGTTGCTTTTTTCATTGCTTTTTTGAAACAAACACAAGTACCAATACATTGCACTAAATAACACGCTCGAAATGTGCATAAATAACAAGTTCCCATGGTCTGGTGGATGGTTCTACTTTTGGTTTTTCTCATGTACCCAAACTATCAGAGTAGGACAATGGATACAATGGGTGAACTTGGTTTTGTATGTGTCATTGTGTTAGAGAGAGAGAAACGCACATAGAAACTATCAGAGTAGGACAATGGATACAGTGGGTGAACTTGGTTTTGTGTGTCATTGTGTTAGAGAGAGAGAAACGCACATAGAATTAGAAATGTAAGAGACAGAGAGGGTGCAACACATATTCCAACCATATTTAGGGGGCCAGGTGAGAGAGAGAGAGGTGTAGGAAGAGTGTGCATGTGGGACCTACCACCTAAATGCAACCGCAGTGGAGAGATACGCTATCAGGTTGGGACTGATAACTAGGCCTAGTCACGTGAGTTCTGTGCGCAGAGAAAGAGAGAGAGAGGGAGGGGATGGAGCACACTTTGGCCTGTGAGTCTAGAAGACAAACACTTCCATCTTGAATGGCTGAGTATTGGTGCTTCCCATTCAAGTACATTTGACTTTGAATGGGGACTACTCTCTCTCCTACTCAGCAATTGTATCTCTTTCCATATCTATATCTGATCATGCACCCCCATGAAAAGTTAGTGCCTTGCTTGGATGCCACGTTAGAAGATTTACCTCAATTTTTGGGTGGCTTGATTCATTGTACCGGTTATCACTGATAATTTGCCGTTGCCTTATGACCACTTTTCTTATGTTTTGCAAATTTCAAGATCGTTCAAAAACTGTATATATGGGTGAAAACATTTAAAAAAATGTGGAAAATTATGGATATTTTGTGCAATCTATTTTTGTAGACATCCAACCCTCTAATATCACACCTTTAATTCAATTAGTGTTTTTCTTTGTTTTTACCTCCAGTTAAAAAGTTAATATGTTAAACACTAAACTACCCTTTCGATTTTCTCTCTATCTCTGTTCAATATCTTTCTCTCTGTCGGTTCTCTCTCTCTCCCCCCAGCTCGAGATCTTTCTCTCTACTAGATATCTCTCTCCCCGCCTGATGTCAGTCTCTCTCTATCTCTATCTCTTTCTCTCTTTCTCCACCTGATGTTAGTCTCTCTATATATCTCTCTCTTGCCTACTCAAATTGGGACAATGTGGTCGGGGCAAAAAAGTGTGTCGGACCTGTACTGAAGCTTTTGGAATTTAAAGCCAGAATCCAATCCGACACATTTTTGTGGAATCCTGTTTGCATACTTTTAAGCAAGACCTCTTTTTTTATTGTTTTTGCCATGACCCATCAAGAAATGTGTCGGACCAGAAAAATATGGCAAAAAATTCGATTCAGCCAACAATTTGTCGGACTGTCTTGTATATGAAAGGAAGAAGCAAGTCTGACACAGAAGTGTGCCCTCCAAATTCCAGAAGCCTCACTACCCGTCCAACACAATTGTGCTGGACCGCACTTTTCCATTTCGGGTCGAGAGAGAAACGGAGAGGGAGAGAGAGAGAGATCTGGTGGCTGGTGGAGAGAGATATCAAGCGGGGGGAGAGAGATCTCAAGAGGGGATATATAGATGGAAAAAGCTGGGATTAGCCCACTAGCTCATATGAACATATGAGCCCAATGACCTAGATTGAATCTGGGCCGATCTGACGATCACGACTTCATTTCGTGTTTGAATTTTAATTGTTTTTTTACAAATCTAAATCACTTGAAATTTTAGATGTGTGTTCTTCTCATCAAGACGTACCTAATAAAAATATAAAAAAAATATTCACGAAAAATAAAATGACCAAAGTACCTCCAAAAATCAAAATATTTTTTTGATATTTTTCGAAGATCCAACTATTTTTGATGAACACACCTAAAATTTCAAGTGATTTGGATTTGTAGAAAATATAAGTCAAACACTACCGGAC